AACAGCAGGTATTATATATAAGTAAGAAGACATCTCTTAAAGTCTAAGGCGAGGTCTCAGGTTTCATCGGATGGAGCACCTAGAGCCAAGGTCAACCTTTCCCTAAAGGCAGTACATAGGAATGCAGCATTGGACCTCAGCCGCGCTCCCTCCGCACACAATACGGGTCCTCGCCGATGTAACTTACTGCCCGGCCGCCTTAGTTCGAGTTCAAGTGCCGGTTGAAGAAAGGCTGCCGCGATGTTTCGGAAGATGAACAGAGGGAGGGCGACCAGTTTGTGCCTCCTCGTCAAAGTCGTCCGGTTGAATGCTATCAGACCGCCCAGCGTTGCCACGGAAATTTGCCGTGGTGGGTGAGAGATACTCAACGTGCTCGCCAACCTTTCGGCGCCCTCTAGTGTTCTGTCGTCTAAGGGTCTCAGCACGGGTAAATCCAGTATCCCCAAATCGCCGTGTACTATCTGAGCAATCATCTATTTTGATCGACAGGCCCTGGCGTTCCTTGACGGTCTGCCCCGGACCGATCCCGGAAGGTGTGGTGGGGCTTTGGTCGTAGGTAGCCTTTTTACCGTCTCTCGTACGTGCAGGTACCATTCTTTTAGCGTCTTTTTTCCTTTCGGATTCTTGACGGGCCTCTGATGCAAAAGTATCGGACACGGAAACCGAGTATGTGGGGTTTTCTGGTCCACCAAGGATATCGTAGCCGCCGCCCGGGCTGCGAATCGGAATTCTCCTGAGCACCATGATTAAAGCGCACATGAACCTAGACCGGCGAGTGCTGCGCACAATCTCACTATGCCAGTTAGATTTGTGCTCGACTTCGACGTAGAGGTGCATTTTATCCAGGCTGCCGAGATCCCCGACGCTGATGCTGATGCTGGGTTGGAAGTCATGGGAGTTTTCTGGTAGCCGTATGAACTTCTCTAACTCAGCATGGAGGAGTTCAATATCGTCGAATGGTGTGTCATACGATACGACGAGGTCGAATATCTCAGACATGGCTTTACTGCGAGAGATATTGTCGATCCAGAGTTGGTTCAGCTGAATGTTGGGGATCTGGCTAATGTAAGCCATTATGACTCCATTGAAAGTGCAGGACTAATAACTCACTTGGACAACTTGCTTGGTATCAAGACGGGTGAAGACCGTATACAGGAGAGAGATTTTATCGACAACCATCTGTGTAGAGGTGATCTCGACTCGGTCACCAACATCGAATGGGTGTTTAACGAAGAGGAAAATGCAAGAACCAAGAAACTCCTGGGCTGTTACGGCGAAAACAAATGAAAGTGACAGCAGAGTCGTTCCGGCACCAGTTATGGTTGCAACAAGGCTGCTGTTAAAGAATACAACTGGGGTATACGTCAGCGGCGGTCGCCAACTAACAACCAAGAGGCCAACTTACGGAAGACGAATGCGGCGAGGAGGAGGACAACAAACATCAGGACGTCGTCGAAAACTCCGAGAGCTTGTCCGATGTCCTTCATTCCTTCGCCAATGGCCTTGCGTTCTATACTCATTTCCACCACCTTGTGTATCATCTCGTCCAAGCCGATGTCCCCATTTCCATCATTGTCGAAGGCCTCGAAGGCGTCCACCGCTTCCTCTTCATATTGCGGCCCTAACACTTCCCGAACATCGTCGACAAATAGGGCGGTCTTGTTCTCGGGCACAAAGGACATCCAGATGCGCTGAGCTAGGGCCTCGGACGTCTTGCGCTTCTCCAGAGCCCCGACGACCATGGAGTGTGCGGAACTCGGGTTCAGGATCTTTTTCCCTGTAATTTCATGGGCAATATTTCCAACTGCAGAGGCAACTTTGGTTCCAACACGGCCCGCATCACCAATTATTTTAATTGGGATGGCTTCCGCGTCCTCTAAGCCTGCTTTCTTCCTTAACGTCATCTCAATACTGTCATTGATGACTTGATCCTCCTCTTCAAAACCACCAGTATATAAGGGGTAAAGAGTTCGGGAGAAGTCGTATAGAAGGCTAAGCAGGCTGATCTCGCGTTTAGAGGCCTCGATTCGGGTCGCAAACGAGCGTTGATGATTCGAGACGCTTATCAATTGAACGATTGCCTTTTCTGTCAAGAGCAATGCCGATGATATAAATAGAGAACCGAGTATGCGTTCGACAGTGACCACCCAGCCGATGTCTCTCATGGCGGCGCTGAGGAAAAGACTCCTGTATGTAAGCCAAGACGTGAGAGCCCAAAAGAAAAGGGAGAGCGGTATGTCGAGATTGCTGATGATGGTGGCGTATTTGCGCGCGCAAAGGCTGACTATGCTGCAGAGAAACACAAACACCTTCGGGAGGCAGAATGCGACAATCTTGGCAATCCACAAGCTCAGCCACGTAATTTCCATCCAGAGGAAAAGTCGGAAAAGCGGCGGCCCATCATGAACCACAAGCCGGCCATCTTCCTTGGAAGTCGAGGTGCCCAGCAAGATCTTGTTCTTCTGGCCCGTGGCAATGAGTACGATAAGCGGAATGGCGAGGACAAATCCTACCGGGACGATATAGACCATATAGCGTGCAATGGCGTTGTATCCAACGACCTTCGAGTATAGCCTAGAAATGGCATTCGTCTCGAGGCTCTCCTCGTCGTCCATGCCATAGCGTCCATGGCCATGCTTCCTGCGACGACCGGCATGCCGCCCATCCTGGCTGTCTTTTTCCCGTAATGTCTGCGAGGAACCTGAGCTTCTTGGCCGTTCTCCCGAGGAGCTCTCAGTCGTAGTCTGGTCTTTGCTCGGCACAGTAGCCAGGAGTATGTCCTTGTCCGTCTCACGATCCTGAGAGCTGTCTCGGAGGGGAATGAAGCCGGCGATTCGCGAGACTAGGGACGGCCGCCTGCTTGACATTTTGGTTGGAAACTGATGCTGCGATCTTGACTGGGTTCAGCTGTAGCACGCGATACCGTCGACAGAGTATTGGCCTGGGATCCCGTGCTCTGTCCGTTACATTGGTGCGATGCGCCGCAAGTCGCGAAGGGATGAAGCCCAAGGCACAGCGAGGTGGAAAAGGCGGCACAGGTTAATTGAAGGAAAAAAGGGATGCGATGCGCCGAGGCACAGTCGATGCCGGTCATGACCATTCCGGTCGGATGGCCTACCGACAACTGGTACATATGTATCGCCGTCAATTCCCTGTGTAAGTCGGTACAGGGGATGCCGACACGAACTGTTCGCTAAAGATGGGAGCTCGACTAAGACGGTTACCCTGGCTGGCACGGCTCCACGAGGCGGGCGGCTGAGATCAACAGAGTTCGGCTTCCTCGCCATGTCGTTGACAACATTGGCCAGCTCGTCCCTCGAGTGCCACATAGCTGACAAGCAAGCAGGGTCTCGATTCTCAAAAGGTTTGCATGGGTGTGGCTGGTGCGATGTCCGATGGGCCGTGACGGGCGACGCCACATCTTCGCGGGGCATGCATGCGGGGCAGCAGTCAAGATTCTTGGCACTCAGTGATGGGAGAGCCGTGGGGTACTGCCAGGCAGAGACGGTTGGGCAATGGCAGTGACACAATGGAAGCAACAACTCGCCGCGCACACCAGTGCCAGATGGCGCGGGCTTGGAGTCCATCAGGACCGATTCGCAAAGGTTGGGCGCGGTCAATCCGGGCAGCCAGTCCGACTAATACTCATCAGCACAAAGGTACATCTGCGGCCGATCCGGGCGCGCCGAAAAGCCAATGTGTTGTTGACGACCGCTGTAGTCCGTACCTGAGATCACGTCCACGGCAAAGGGAGACGGCCATGTTCTTCACCAGGCGGGATGCCCGCCGACGGTGGTTGCGATGGCCCGGGGCCCGGCATGGATGCGCGAGAACGTGAAGGGACTGCAGAAGGAAACATGCGGGCTAATAGGCACGCGCCCACTCGAAAGGGCAGATAGTTAACAGGCATGTCTATTCCGGTATTTCGTCACGAACTGCCCTCACCTGCCAAGGTAGACACCCATGTGCTTCGTGAAGGAATGGGTAACCGCCCCAAACAAAACAAACCAAAAATAACCCCCCAATCCAAGAACCCAAGAAAATTTAATTTCCTCCAGACGGTGCTTGTCGAGTCCTCATATCCCCTCCACGACGCAGCGTTCGACGCGCGGGCCCGCGTGCTGTCTGCAACTTGACCTGGCAGCAAATGATGGCCGCGCATAATTGCCGGGAGGCAGCTGAGCACCAGCGTGCACGCGCAGGCCAACAAGAACAAGATGTAAAACGCGATCAGCCGCTGGCACCCACGCCCTGCGCCCAGAACAGTCCTTCAGCAGTTCAATCTTCAACAAGCCGGAATCCGAGCATCGCCGAGGAGAAAACGCGATGAACGGCGGCAGCTTTCTTCCTCGGGTAACCCCTGTATGCGCATATATACCTTACCTATCTAACTTATAATATCTTTACTTAGAGCGTTTGTCCTCCTTTAGGCCCTTACCATCAGGCTAGTACTCTTTCCCTAATAAAGCATTATAGCTAATCATCCGGAACTCGCAGACCTTCTAAAAAACAATGCCTCGAAGTAGAGACTGTGCGAGGCTGCGGTCGAGGCGCAGGAAGAGCTCGAAGATATTATATTAAATCATCTTATAGAATCTATGCCGCGGCGCCTTGCAGCCGCTATTGCGTTATAAGGCTGGTATACTAAATATTGATATAGGCCAGAAGAAAGCCCTGGATCCGGGAAATCTAGTATGTCTTTCGTTTTCTTAATTGACCCTTATTTAGCTATAAAATGCGCGTTTGAAAGTTCCATGCCTAGGTCACCGATTTCGTGTTAGGCGGGGTAGGTCGGAACTTTTGTCTTCCCACTGTAGCAATAGCAGTAAGTAAAGGCATCGTAGCCTGCCGGCTGCTATAGTAATTATGGCATCGCGGGCTGCTAGGCTGCTAGGCTACGGGCTGCGGGCTCAGCGCTATAGTATGGCACTGTAGCCCGGTCTTAGCGGTGCGACTTATGTAAAAATAGAGAAATGCGTGTATAGAAATAAGGATACTCTTTATAGATTCCATACGAGCGGCTCCCAGAGCTCAAACTCGTCGTTGGCCGGCACTTGGTGGTCGGCGTCGTCGTCGAGACCTTGGATCCACGCTTGTCCACCAAAAACGGGCTTGACAGCTTCCTCACACCTGAAAACGCTCCGAGTCGCTTCCATAGAAAAGGGCCCGTAGTGGCTGGAGTTGAAGTACGCGTCGTCCCAGAACTCGGCAACTAAGTTTGTGCTTTCGCGGGCGCTTTCATCCTCTCCGGCACTGACGCTCTCGCTGCTTGGTCTCGCACAGGCCAGATCCCACCGGACGCGAAAGAATAAACCGGGTTTCTGCTGCTGCATGGTCAATGACTGTATCGTATCATAAAGCTGTCCCATTGTGACGCCCGTGTCGAAGTCACCAGCATCGTTCTGCGGAGGCGTGACGAAGTCGACGAGACAGCGGTGGCCCGCCGCGGTGATGGTGAAAGAATCCAGCCAAGTGAATCCGAGGAAAGGCGGCGGGGGCTGCGAGACAAGCATGCGTCTCCAACTCGCACCAGCCCTGGTAAAGCTGCGCTGACGACAGGTTGGGTCGACGTCGAGGACACTGCCGGTACTTGCTTTGAGGTGAGGCAAGGCTTGCGGCGACCAGGGTAGCTTCCAGAAGTATTCGGCACGACGGAACGGGTACTTATCCACCCGACAATCACTCAGGTTGAAGAATTGGTCGCCAAAGGCCTCCTGAAGAAGAGGGTTGATACAGGGTTGTTCACCAGGCTTCGTGTGAAGGCTTCGGTCGGCCTGGAAGAAAGATGCTTCTCGGAGCATAGGCGAGTGATTCAGCGTCTCCAACCAGAAGCTGCAAACTCGTGGGGCAGAGGTGATGCGAGACTTCAGGTCGAGATGAAGCAGAATGAGCTCAAGGAGCTCAGGGGTCCCCAGCACCGACGCCGTCGCCTGTAACTGCGATTCGGATTGGGATTGGGAGAGGGATAATGACTTGGTTGGTCGAGGTGTCGAGGCCGAGGCTGATCCCGCCTCGCTCGAGGAGAGACGACATTCCGTAGCATCGCATGTTTGGGCATGATTCAGAGAGCGCGGAGGGTAAGCAGCCGGTATGAGGGTGCAAACCCTCCGGGATGGCAGCTGCTCACCATGCAGGACCACAGTGGGACCATCCTCGACGATTGCTCTCTCTAGCAGGAGCGAGTAATCCGCAGCGGAGAGCTCAAACACCTCAATGGCTTGCGCCTCCGGCTTCTCCTCTTCTTCCTTGTTCCTCGAGCCGGTCCTCGGGGCTGTGGTTGTCCGCACCGACTTGGGCGACTGCTCTAGGCATAGAATCCCTCGAAGCTGATCGGGTTGGTAGACGGCGCTTTCTGGGTCCGATAAGATTGGGAACGTCTCCCCGCGTGACGCCTCGATAGTGGGCGCCATGCCAGCCGTTAGGTCGGACAGACTGTGCGGAGTGTAAAGGCCATGCTGTCGATGCATATCGTTGGCCATGGCTATGGTGAGTCCCCTTTGCGATTCAGGTAAGGGAGATATCGTATGGTCGAATAAGGTAGGTTACGAAAAAGCAAAAGGTGTAACGGGCTGAGCCCGTCGGAGTCTCGGCTTACCTTCTTAACTATGGAGTCACGTGGTGTAATACGTGCCCCCGGCGGACCGTTAACCCCTGCCGTTTTATAGCACTGTAACGACAGCACACTGTCTAAGGCTCAGTCAGGCAAGAGAGGCAATAGCTATGTAAATGGGCTGCGGATGCTACTGTCGCTATCGGTTAGAGACTGAAGCTTAGAGAGCTCAATTAGCGATGCGCCGGCGAGTCGCTGGGAAAATGTCCCCGCGCGCTCGGCGTCACGTGAGCCCTCCAGCTGGCCCTGGCCTGTGTGGCCAACTGTTACTGGCAGCTACTTAATAACGGAGTGTCCGTGAATTCCTGAGTAATACTGAGTGCAGATCATACCTAGTTAGCTTACCTTCGTGATTATGAAGGAGACAGGCTCTGATTGCGACGCTTCATCCTTAAACAGACAGCTATGCGGACCTAAAGCCATGAGTAAGTCTCACTTCAGCCGGAGGACGCCCGTAGTGCTGGGATGGTTCATGGGCCGCGTATTATATCGCGAACGGGTAGCAAACTCGGTTAGATATATATTTGTTCCGGACTAGCATGATGTTATGGAACTGGTCCCACTATGCCACTAGAGGAATGAAGCTGAACATTACTCGGCAAGCACGGAAGAGCTCGACAAGAAGTCTTTATCAGTGTGACGCCCTGGCAGCCTGACTGGCCGAAACAGGACTAAGCCATTGCCCCAATTCGACCCCTAGGTGCGCCCCTTGATCGAACATGACAAGATGGCCGGCATTGTCTATCACCGCGACTTCGTCGGCCTTGAGGGCATCTGCTAGCCTCCAAGCATCAGCAACGGGTATCCACTTGTCGTTGGCTGCCCATATGACCTTCACCGGCATGGCGCCACCGACCTCTGCATATCTCGGCTCCACCGCCTCGGTGGATCTGAAGTTGGCCTGGCATAATTCGCGGATGAACCTGGCTCTTCCGCCATCTCGCAGCCACGGTGCCTTCAGCATTTGCAGCTTTTCGTCGCACAGCTTGTAGAATGTAGCATCTCGAATGTATGCTTCCAATATTCCTTCGATCGCCATCCCTGGTAGCACATCGAAGCGTTCTGGATCCTCCCCGATTGCTTTAAAAAGTGTTTGACCGAACGGGCCTATTGCAACGACGTTGACCAAGCATAAACTCCCATAGCAGCATCCATGCAACAAGTGTGCCCGCAGACTGATCAGTCCCCCATTATCGTGAGCTATGACATGGCACCTTTTGTTGTCCCAGTCCTTCTCCCAGAACTGGAATAGGGCAGCGAATACTTCTGTCTGCCTTGCAATATCAGCGTCAAGCTCAATGGCCTTGCTTGAGCTTTGCGCCTCGCCAGGCAGTTTGCATTCTTCAGGAGAATCGCCGAACCCCGGCCTGTCGAAGAGATACACGTGGAATTTGCGGGATAGCGAAAGTGCATATGGCTCCCAGACGCGTGATGACCAGGGTGTCCCATGTATAAAGATGAGCGGCGGGGACGTAACATTTCCCATTTCACACCAATTGACGGTGTACCGATGAGTGTCGCTGGTATATCGAAAGGTCTCGTTCAGATATGTCGGTGAGTTCATATTCATCAATAGTTTGATGGCTGTTGTGAGCCTGCAGTGAAGTCGATGTGACGCGGGTGGATGTAGCTCGTAAAACGAATTTCTTCGGCGTCGACGTGAGATGTGACGAGAATCTAGTTTGCACAAGACGATTAACATGTAGCGATGGTCGCACCATTTAAGTTGCCCAACCGGAGACTTTGCACCGGTGCGTTAGTAATAACCTTGATTCGAATCCTTGGTACCAGCCGTCGCTGGGTGCATGGTTACTTGCCAGTGGGTGAACGTCATTACATGTCAGGACTCCACATCGGGGCGGACATCCAGCCTGGCTGTCAGCTCGGCTGCGCCTCACTCCGCAGATCTCCTCCTGGCAGACCAGGAAAGCTCCTTTGGTAACGGTCAGATGGGAGAACCCCGCTGAACGTAGCGTGCACGTGACGGGCCCGACCCATAGGGTAAAGGGGCCTGCCTCGCTGGCGTTCCTTGAAGCTTGGGCCTACAAGCTTCAGTCTTGAACCTGAACAGAGACTACTCCTTGAGTGAACAAGACAGACACATCGCACCCTTACCTGGCTACGCGTGTGGACCCTAGCCGTCATTACAGCTTTCGTCATCAGTGCATTCAATTGCCGGCGAGGCCACGATGCCTTAAGCCTAGTCATGCAGCTCGATGACCGCTGCCCGCTGCAAGGCGTCTTAGCCCGTAATGTCCAAAAAGAAACCAGGTGATGGCTCAATAGCACGTCTCTTCTTTAATTCATTGGTAGCACATACCCCTCGGATGCTAGTTTGCAAATGACATAAAGGCACTAGTAGTACGTCTTGGACTCATGCCTTTCCACTTCGAGCCGACCCTACCGCTATGAGCCGACCCTAGTGATAACCAGAGTGCATATAACGCTCAGAGCTCCGGATTTATAGTACAGCATGACGATATTCTTGAGCCGATAGTTCTTGCATGTGGTTGCTGTTTAGTTGTCGCGGCGCACAGGCTACGCACTACCCATTGAAGTTAAAACACCAGCAACCGTGAGAACCCAGCGACGCAGCCCATTTGACATTGCCGCGCCGCCGCTTACGCGAAAACAGCAAGCCCACGTTTCGGTGCTCGCACTTTGCACGAGGCGCCCAGTACGAGCACGCACGTGGCGGGGCATGGGCCAGACGGAGACCCTGGCTGTCGATGACGGCTGCCGACAAAGTCTTGTCTGTTTCAGCTGCCACTTGAGGAAGACGAGCTACAGGTAGGACAACTAATTGCTGACGCGGAAGATGGTGCCCAATGCATATACGCGGATCAAATAGTGTACATGGCAATGGGACTGTGTGCTGTCTCATCCGGCACTTGTCGACCATCGACCCAGACACGTACACAGTGCATTCGGCTTACTATTTTTGTTAGTAAATGCAGTATTGTCTACCAGCGCACAGACTGGCGCGTTATATTCTTTGCGATCGCAAATGTGTGTCAGGTTTACGTCAATTCTATTTCGGCTGTGTAGTATATGGTCATGGGACTCCGTGCGGTGCAATGCCTGAGGGAATTTGTCGGGCGTCGGTCTCTACTTAGACTGATAACGAATAATACAGTCAAGACTGGAAACGGGCTTCGTTACAGATTATAAGCCATTATAGAAGAGCCTTATATTCGCTGATATATAAGAAGCCTTGTTTAGATCTTTGCTTCTGCCAGACATAGCTATCAGAGCAATTAGCGTATATACATTTATATACAAACAGCCGACAGCCGAAATTAAGGGCAGTTTACTAACAAACTTCTTTACTTCCTTTATTACATCCCGACACCCAACTCCGATAGGGCCCGCTACCAAGAAACAGCGCCCAGCATGAGATTAAACGCAGTCTCCGCCTTAGTCACGTTTTCTTCCTTCGGTCTCGCACTTGCTTACGTGGAGATAAAATGCGGCACCCAGCTTGGCTTTACGACTGGCAAGGAAAACCCCCTTGTCACCGGGCGGTGCTGCATCGAGGCACAGATAGTGGGCAAGCCGGACGCCTGGTATCCGGACACCGCTACATGCGACATTGAGAACGCAGATCGCCTTAAGTTTTACCTTTGCTGCTGGGGGAAAGGCCTGACAGAAGTCAGGATCAAGATGAATCGCCGGAAGAAGCCTGCTGGTAGCGCTCCTGGCCAGAGTGCAGATACCACCTCTGACTGCAAGGAAAAAATCGAGTGAGAGCGCCATTATCTATTAGCTACCCGCTTCTCGGGCGATTCCGGTACTCAAGTGAGACTCAGGCGCTTCTTGAGCGCTGCTCGGGGCGAAGCGGCGGGTGCTCAAGAAAATCCCTGGGAGAAGGGGGTCTACTCGTGTTATAGATCGTGCATAAGGCTATGTTAGTTACTTTGGTTCAATGTTATTATTGCTCTAAATCTAAACAGAGCCAAGGTATTCTTTGTCAGTATACTCTATTGGCAATCAGTACTCGTCATCTAGAAGTTTATGCCATCTTAGAGACTTCATGTCCGAACGGCCAACAGTCATGATGATGCAACACCTGCTCTTAGGCAAGCTGCTTCCGGGCTCATATCGATTTTGGCTGTCTTGCGGTGTTGCAGTGCGGCACTCCGAAGCTCCCCCGCCCTAGCAGTAGTCGTGTTCAGTTTCGGGTGCGCGGGATGAGGAGTGCTTCCCATCGCGTCCATCTTTACCGGAATCTGGTACACAAGCTGGGAGTAACCTATCCTGGTTGCTATATGGTTCAAGCTAATCTGCTAGCCTCTTCGAATCGGTCGCCGTTTGTCTGACCCTGCCCTCAATCTAGATATGATACATGACATACTCACACCATTCAACGTATCCTATGTCGTGTCAGGCTGCCTTTCGTACGGCATCTCACAGTCGACTACTGACCTGGGCTATTGGAGAATTATTCTGTTTAGCGTTTTTCGGACCGCTAGCGTGCTATAGGCGGCGCTCGTTGCGGCCATCCTTCCTGGTTCTCCAGCCTCTGCTAGGTGGCTGTCCCCACAGGAGAGGTACGTCGCTGCCCGCCACAGAGATACAAAACTGGCATGGAGCACAAGAACATCAAGTGATACCATGCCGGAGGGGTGCCTCGATATCTCAAGTCTCGGACATAGTAGATCTCCTCAGGAACGCGCATAACATCCTTGACTTAGCAAGTAGCGCCATAGCAGCTACCCTCCGCTATATAGGAGTCTAACTTAGATATGTTCTCTATATTCTCTAACATAACTACGCCGTCTTGCAATTTTGTTTCTCGTTTTGCCCAGCGTTTCCATTTTTTTCATCGCCTCAGGAAAATCTGCTTGGTTTTTCTTGACTTGATCTGATATATCGCCGAGGCTTTGCGCTGTCTCTATCGTTTGAGGAGTATTGAACCTTGGTGTGGTGTCGTTTTGTTGCACTGGGAAACACCCACCGAAGGGACCAGCAACAGCATTATTGCGGCATCGGACAGTGCAGACATTCCCAGTGGATGCTATCACATTCGGTTAGCCGCAGACTCGCACGTGAGGTAGCTCAGGGACTCGCCTCCAGTGCAGTTTAACTTTTTAGGCATCGTCACCGTTATATTGAACGACTGTGTCTTTGCCAGCGATAATCCATTAATGCCCGGAACATTATTGGTCACAGTAAGGTTCTGCTTCGTGCATTAGCCTGGACTTGTTTTCTCTCGATACCGCAGAAGCTCCGGGAAGATGGCTGCGAGGGGAGAAAAGATCGCTTCCTTACGTGTGTTATTTTGCCGGTGTTGCTAGTCTCATCGAGATCGCAAGTATACGGCCCGGCGCCGTCGGCGTTGACTTGGTGAACGGTCACGGTGACGTTGCTTCCAGACTTGACCTGCGTGACCTGCTTTTCTTTGATTGCATTCTCGGTATTCTCGCCGACGTCGATGTTTCCGCCAAGTTCAGTCCGCCCACATTGATTGGCAGCGTTTGCCTTAATTTCTGCATCGCGGATAATTGCGGTGTCTTGTTGGCAGGGGTTTATGTCAATGCATTCGCGGGAAATGTTGGGATTGACTGTATGGAATGAGTGCTTGCTAGGTGACTTCCTTCGAGAATCTGCGGTACCTTGAAACCCAACGCCCAAAGGCGAACCTTTCAGGCCCTGTACTCTAGTTATGACGCCGTGGCATCGAATCAGGGTGGCAAGGTATATCGTCACAAGCGCTAAAGGTAGAACCATGATGCTTAAATAGACTGTCGTCTTGGAATACAATGTGGCCAGCACAATAAGTCATAAAATACAGTAAATCGGAGACGAAAATGCATCATGCGAGCCATAAAGCTGCTAAACCTCGGGGCATCTGGCCTTTTAACCTGGCCGGCACGAAAACGAACATAGCGTACGACAGTTACTGCTTTCATGCTGAGCTACTTTGCAGCTGCCTTCTTTCCTCGCAGGTATCCATGATGAGACATCGGACATAACTCATGACATCGCCGTGCTACATCGCTGTGAGGACCTGATGATTCGCGGCGCCCTGGTGTAGAACTCTAGGCTAGGCGCGAAGTGGAAACTCGTCTCCAAACTCGATGAGACATTTTACGGCGGACCATCGAGACGATTCCCGAATCACCAGCCACACGTTTCGGTAACTACCTGCAATGGAAACACAAAAGAGCCGCGGCCATGGCAACCACGACGAATCCGCACTTCGACCCGTCTTGGTACGGGACTATGTGCGTATCAAGTTGCTGACGCGAGTCGTCGTCTCGAAGCTGAAGACCACGAGGTGGGTATCAGTGTCCATTTAGCGGAGCAGCTGTATGTGCCCTCCTGGGACCACGGAATGCCGTGAGACGCTTGGTAAGAGCACGCTCGTGGATCTGAGGCACGACAGTGGCCACGACATGAAATACCGGACTCAGCAAATATCTGCTGATCAGTTCGTGTGCCATTGGAGGGTAAAACATGACTTGTGTGGCCGACAACTCGTCGTCTTTAACTCAAGTGAGCCTGGGCAAGCACGACGTGGTGTATTCCTGAAAACTCTCCAACAAAGCCTTTCAGCTTACCCGGCCGCCACCGGCGGGCCTCGAAGATGCTGTCAGAGGATTTAATGAGTTTGATGAATCAGAACTACGATCCGCGAGTAGTGATCGGTGTGAATCATTCATGGCGCATGTTTCATCCAGTCAGATATCTGCCGTCAAACCTTCCGCCAAGTGTTTCCGAAATAACCGCCTGGAACATTCAGGAAACGGCCAAGGTCTGCATTTTCTCCAGGCCTCGTGGTGAAACCGAAAAAATGTTTGTGCCTCGAAGACAATTGCGGCATACGTTTCATCATCGAGACTGTTTGGCACTAGCTCGTTCTTGGTCCGGCGCCCCTTAATCGCGTCGCACAGCTTCAAGACGCTGTGCAGGGTGACTTTCATGTGACGATGCTTCAATCTAGGCTGGAACTGAAGGGACTGGGCCACTCGTGCGTAGTCTGTCTCATTGGTCGGGGAATGGGGAATAATGCAAAGTCAGCCCCTACACCGCGTTGCATCGGGGTCGACACCTGAGGACGCTGCACTCCATAGTTAAACTACATAGGTCCAGTTCATTTACTTCTCAATCCATGAACCTTGCCTTTTGGCTGTGGTGTATTACTGGCTTCTGTGGTACCCTGGAAAGAAGGGGTACTCCCGCAATGTCTGCTCGGTCCAGTTCCTCTCAACGAGGCCCCGCTCAATTTGCGATCGCGCGTACTCCTCAAGCGCTGGGCGCGCTATATGCTCAACATGCCAGGTCGCCTTGTATTTCATAATACCTTCCTCTCCGTCGGCTAAAATTTTGAGAATTAACGAAGGGATGTACGGCTCGTCCCGGAACTGTAGAAGAGGAGTAAACAGCGCCTTGAAATTGAATACAATTCCACCCGAAAGAGGCAGCCGCCGTAGCGTCTGCCAGTCTACGCGCAGGAAGATATCTCGCCGATGCAACGCTGGATCCTGTGACTCGCGATGGCTCCAGTCGGGGTGGTCGGCTGGGAGGAAGAGCGGCTGGCCTACTTCTAGGCCCCACGAGCCTCGTTGGATTGGGCTGTGCGTGGGCATTTTCGTGAAGAAGCTGCAAATGTCAGTGTCTACGACAATTCTTTCGTTAAGGGATACTCGCCGGTCCATGCTGAACGCCATCTTCTCTTTGTAACTCGGCACTGGATCATGAATGCCGCCAAGCTCTAGGCCAATCTTTTGGCTAAGCTTCCAGCCAAGGGTGGAAAGAACAACGCCCGCTCGGAAATGGTAGCGCCCCGTCTTCTCGTTGCGCAGCGTAATAGCAAAGTCTTCAGGGACATTCTGCAGCAAAACATGGAGTGGATGCATCTTTTCCAGGTCGGTACGCGTGTCGAGGATGTCGTTATAGAACACATACTCTTCCACACGAAAGCAGTCGGGGTACCGCGCACAGATATATTGTAGGACCATCTCCATGAGTTCTTTGCACGCGAGCTCCGAGCCCGGTAACGCTTGTAACACGTCTGACCCGTGTTCGGCATACAGAGCGCGCCGTTGTGCAATACGCTCGCGGTAGGTGCTCTCCAGCTCAATCCAGTAGTTTGGTTCCATCTTGTGGAAGGCTAAATCGAGCATTAGTCTCTGGTAGCAAGTGATGTTCGCGAAATAACTTGCACATTGTTTGGTGGTAAGCCCATCTAAAGGGCCGATAAGGCCTGGGCGAAGCGCTGTCTATGTTGAAGCTATTGACGGGCGACGGCGCCGGAACACCGGATAGCTTAGCATAATCCGGAAAGTTGCCGAGCGCGTTGACTTCGCCGACCGTAAAACCACTGAAGATTCTGGAGGACGGGTTGGCGTCGCGGTAGTCCACATCCATCTTGACCAAAGACTCGGTGATCAGAGGGTTCAAAGGCTCCTTGACCTCCGTTCCAAGTAGCTCACCCAGCACATGTCGTTGTGACGGTGGGAACACGGTAGTGTAGTCTGCGGTGGGGATCCTCTTCTTCGGGGCCTCGCTCGTGAACGCCTCTGTTCGGATACGTTTCACACTTCGGCTTTTCAACAACAAACTGTAGGCAAGATGGGCAAGGCTGCCGACACATACTACAAGAATGAGTAATAGGAGCGCCATGATGCCAATGCACGTCACAACTAATGTGAGTGGACGAAGGCGTACTGCCTTTCCGAGTGTGTGGTCAAACGTTTATATCGGTCTTCAGATCTCAACTGCGGCGATATCTCAGCACAGTATGCTGATCACCAAGCCAGTGAGCTGTGCGGGCGGGGGCCGGGCCTCGAAGGGCGGACGTTGCCCCAGCCTGCCTCGGCTAAGTTGACCGAAAGTGGAAATCGCTGGAGAACGCACTGCGCCAAAGACAAAGTTGGCAATATGTGAGGGGAACCCCAACGTGAGACAAAGTTGGGCGCGGCGTCATCTGTACAAAGTCGCCTACTGTGGCATCGCTCTTATATCCATGTCACTCAGACGTATCTGCGATGTAGATGCCGGTGAGAGCGCGAGAGGGAACTCCTCTACTCGCAAGGATTGAAATAGCGATACTGGTGCTGCCAGGTTATTCTAAGAACACGTTCACTTGGAGGTGTTACGACAATCGTCAAGTATCTCCTGCTTTCTGCTCATGGGCTGTAGATAATTCCCAACATGGAGCAAAGGCCACACCTCCATGTGTCGTCCTCACAAGTGAGCTGATCCCTTTGACGCCATCTGACTCGCAGTTATGCACCGCTGAGGCGGCACATCCATGACAGGGTTATTGGAGAAAAAGTTCCGTGGCCGCAGCAACACGCTGATCGGCTCACACGGCATGATGGGAAAATCCTCTGGAGCCGGAAAATGCACGAGGCCAAATGTGTGCCAGAGGACAATGTCCTCATTATCGATGCCCTCGTTCCCGTCTCCAATCCACTCCGGCAGCCCTACGTCGGACTCACCAGATGTCTGTGGCACATGCCGACCCGCTGGATAGAGTTGATCATCTCGATCTATCGACTTGTCAGAACATAAAGCCCTCATTTGCAACTTGGCGCACTTACACCTGGTGACGTGCACAGCGTGTCGGGCAAATCCTGCCCTCTTCCAGACTAGGGATTCTTCTTTAGGCAAGAGAGCCGGCACCTCACGGCTCACGAGCTTATAGCTCACGGGCTTCTTGCTGTATGGATGCAGTTTGTTCGTATTACAAAGGTCCCACGTTCGCACCGTCGCGCCGTTGTAGTCGGTCACAGACTGGCCGGTGGTTTCAAACTTTGTCCGCTTGGCGTAAAAGGCGTTGCCGTGCTTGTTGGCGGCGGATCCCACCGGTGCATCAGACGCTACTGCGTCAACCATGAAGGCTGTATTCCTGGGCCCGTCAATGTTTGAGTCAATCCTCAAGCAAAAAAGGTGCTGATGATTGTGGCCGTTGACACCTGCGGCACGTCAGTGAAAGAATTGTCGGCGTGGACAGTCTGCTTACCGGGATAGACCTCAGTGCCCCATCCATTCGTATCCTCACCCTCTTTGATGGAATAAGTATTCAGGATACCAGTCAGCTTGATCTCGAGCTGGATCGTTCCGTCTTGCTGATTCAGGTCAACGAATATTCTACGAACACCTATTCCTTGCGAGAACGCACGTGAAATATCCACTGACACGAGTTAGCTGGGGCTGCACCTCACGTGAAGAAATGCGGCGATTCTGGCACTCACCTGAATGGCATATTCGTAATTGGCAGCCGTAAAAATCTGCTGGATGATGAGCTTCCGCGCTCTCGTGACAATGACAGAGTCGTCCCTGAAGTCAGTGTGCTTGAACAAAATGCCGTCGTCTTCCTCATGAATACAAATGGCGTTCTTGATGTGTCTGATGGTGCCGTCACGGGCGGGGAAATCGGCGTCTAGATATTTGATGAAGCCCTTGCAGTCGCAGCCGAGCTTGAGGCTGTTGGTCATGTAGCCGGCACCGTACTCGCCAATGTCGAAGGCGTGCTTTCGCTGGTGAGGATGCTCGGGGTTGCCACTAGCGTCTGTCAGCCTTAGGAAAACCTTCAGCATCGTCTGCGCGGTAACCGACTAAGGAACCACCATCTCCGCCAGCGACAACCTGTAGAAGAGGTCCCGTAGCGTCCCTTTGTCGTCGTACTTGATGTTGCTGAGAACAATTCCCTCCCTGTAGTTGAAGCCGATGTGAAAGTTCCAGCTTTGCCACTTCATCTGCCTGCCGTTCAAGGAGAACGACGGCCCCTGCGACTGGGTGATTTCCAGCGGCTTCACGTCGCTGCGGTAGCCGCCTGCGGCTTCAACCGCCGCTGTATGGTAATTGATCTGCTTCTCTCTCCGGAGGGGCCTTCGCACCTTGGGGATATCAATGTGCACAATCTTCTGCTGATCAGCGTCGTATATGGGGCAAAAGTCCAAGGGATACTGATACTGGCAATCGTCGATGTCTGGTCTGAAGTACATGAGGCCTTGCTGCAGGCGGACGTTGCTGCCGAAACGCTCGTCGTAGCCAATGGTCCACGGGTCGCAGTAGACCTTGTGCATCTCGTCCCTTGAGACACCGCTGATCTCGCACTGCGCAATGACCTTGGGGTCCTGCCGCACGACATACGATACGATACGATACGATACGATACGATAATTATTTAACGTCCGGGAGCTATAGTGATAGCTGAAAGTCCCTATTGGGGCAAAGGACGTGCTAGGCTGCTGATTCTAATGTACAAAGATGCTGCTGGATCAAGATGTATGGCGGCTGGTTTCTTGCCGATTGTCTAGGTTAGCAGCCAAAGCTGGCTTGCTGCCTGAGGCGCCAGGGACCGATTCCCCACCGCCCCGTAATCTCCAACGCGTCCTCGTTTCAAAACAAACACCATCTAGCATCTCACCGGCTCAAAGGCGCTCTTTCGTCGGAGCCTCGCACCCGTCAGCGGGATGTGGAGGTGCAAGCGACTTTCTGTCGCAATCTATGCTCATCAAATGCGATGAGTCTGGGAAGGCGTTTCCTCTCCGGCCGCAACTTGCAGCTGGATTGGAGGGCCTTGGCCGGGTGAAGGGCGCTGCAACGCCCTTCGCTCGACCGCGACCAGAATTGGAGAAACACAAAAACAAAACAAAAAGAAGGAGGGAGAGAGTGCTGTTCGCCTAATGGCGCGGACAGATCCTTTGGAAGAAGGAGCTTTCCGACGTCATCGCGACGAAGGCTTTGAAGCCCTTGCCTACTGCATGGTGAATCGCTTCGGCCGGTGAGGGTGCGAGCCTCATCCGGAGCCGTGGCGGTATCTTCCTGCAGTAGAATGGGTGCTCTGGCGCTTTGCGTCGTCCGCATGAGCAGTCAAGACATGCGTCGTCATGATTGAAACGCTCGTGGTAGTCGGCAAAGTCTCCGTGGCGAGATCTCGCCGCGAGGACACTGTGGAGCGTTGCCCTGGGGAGCATGAGTTCTGGTGGGCAGCTTGTGGTCACCTCGAGGTGCAGAGGCCTGTACGACTCTGGGGCTTCGGTCGTCCACCATGCTTTGAAGGCATCTCTAGGCTGCTGTCGGGCCAGTCGGCGCAGGTGCGCCAGTGATGGTACGGCTCCGGGCGGCTCAGGCAGCAGGCAACCAGCTTTCGCGAGGCCGTCGGCCTCCTCATTGCCTGGTATGCCGGCATGTCCTGGGATCCAGCGGACCTCGACGTCTCCGTGTGCTTTCGCCAGGTCCTGGAACTTGGTAAATGCGTCCTGCGAGGAGTCGGCTGGGTTCCCGCGCAAGCAGGTGGCCACTGCAAGGTTGTCGGTGCATACTACGATGCTTGTCGTCGTGTTGGTGGCAGCGGCTATGGCGGCTTGTAGGCCCTCCAGGGCCCCGACTGCCTCTGCGTCGAACACCTCGGCGGGCCTTAGTCGGCCGGAGCCGTTGGTTATGGGTTGCTCGTTCCGATGGACCGTAAATCCGTAACCTACGGCCCCGCTCGGCAATTGCGATCCGTCGGAGTATACGATGAGTTTTCCGGTCGCGGCGCTTTTGAGCCATTCGAGGAATCCGTCGGCAGTTTCGGCTTTCGGTGCGGTCTGGAGCGGGCTGGCTTCAGAATCGGAGTATTGTCGCGGTAGCAGGACCGGGCGGGCGCAGTCCGGTAGGAGTGCGTCGGTACGCTCGAGTCTGGTCTTCTGGCTCCGTCGCTCGACGAGAAACTTGCGTTTGATCGAGCTGTGGTATGCCCGGGCGGGCTTCGGGGAGGTCCTCGCCACGAGAGGGTGTCGTACGTCCAAGGCCTTCAGGCGCGCCGAGAAACGGATCCTTTGAGACTCGAGCAGGATGGACGCGGGTGGAATACCAGCTTCTCGATGGAGGGCAGGGATGGGCGTGGTCTTCCAGATGGGGAGAGCTGCTCGGATGGCGTGTCGCAGAACCGCGTCGAAGCGATCGACGAGGTGCTTGATCTGCGTGGACACAAGGCGGGTCGCGTTCCCGGTGCTAGGGGCCATTTGTCCGGGATACCATGCTTCTACTCCGTAGAACAAGGTCGGTTCGATACAAGCCTTGATGGCTCTTCGGACGGCGCTGGGGAGGGGCCCTTGTCTGGTGTTTGCGAGGGCCTTAAGATGGTTTGCTATCCGCCGGGCTTTGGCTGTCCACTCGTCGACGTGGGTTTTGAACGACAGCTTTCGGTCAAGCCAGAGGCCCAGCCAGCGCATCGAGTCGACCGGGACGATCTCTGTGTCATTTTGGAATATTGACGGCCGGGCGGGGTCCTTCTTGCGGGAGAAGTGCATTATCTCGGTCTTGTCAGGGTCGAATGTGACGCCATTCGAGGCGCCCCACGCCAGGAGCTCCCGCATGTCTCGAGATGCGAGAGCAGTCGTTTCTTCTAGCGAGCACCCTACCCGTAGCATTGCTGTATCATCTGCGTATCCAAAGCGACCGCTAGAATTTCCCAAGCGGTAGATTGGGGCGATATACAGTGCAAAGAGGATGGGAGACGCGGGAGATCCTTGGGCCAGGCCACATTCGAGCGGGGACGGCGGCGTTGTGATATCCTGGAACCGTACGGCTGCTGAGCGGGCTTGCATGAAGGAGGCGGCCCATTTCACAAGGTTCAGTGGCCAGCCTTGTTGACGCAGACGCAGTATGAGCCTGTTGCGCATGACGGTGTCGAAGGCGCCCTGTACGTCCATAGTGACCAATGTGGCGACCATACCGCGGGACAGAGCTACTTCGATATCGTGTATGAGGGCGGCGACCAGGTCTACTGCTGATCGTTTTGGGAGCGCACCAATCTGTTGGGGCTGCAGGACGCCATAATGGATCGAGGCCCAGGCAAGCCGGCGAGCAATGAGCCTCTCAAGCCCTTTGCCGAGGCAGGACAGCAAAGATATCGGTCTCCAGGCGCGGGGCTTGGAGAGGTCCCGTTTGCCGGGCTTCTCGATCATGACGACTTCTGCTTCCTTGAATCTCCGAGGGTGATAGCCTATCGTGAGGCAGCCCTGGTACAGGCGCTGGACGTGTTTGCCGATGGCAGGCCATGCCGTCTGAAGTAGGCGCACCGTGATGTTGTCGGCTCCGGGTGAGGTATTGCCTGTGCGGAGCAGAGAGTCTTGGACCTCTTCGATCGGTACATCTGCTTGGAATGGAATGTGCGTGGTAACATCCACGGGTATCCATGGGTCGGAAATATCGTCGGCGGCCGTCCTCCGCTCAAGGGTGGCCTGTCGCAGAGCTTCGGCCTTGCCAGACTGAGTCTCGACGATGGTCTCGCCCACTTGCAGCGGTGGAGGGCGGAACACGCCCGGGCTTTTCAGCCAGCGCGTGACCTTGAAAATGTCCTTGCCCGCCTGGACTCCGTTGATGAGATTGCGCCAGTACGTCCTTTTGGCTCTTCGGACAACGGCTCTCAGTTCGCGGCGGGCGGTTTGTACCTCGTAGTTGAAGCCCAAGGGAAAGGCGCGCCTCACACACCGGAGCTCGGCCACGGCGGCTATGCACTCCTCGTTCCACCAAGGGGCTCCCGACGACCGCCGCTGAGATTGTCTGCCCGCGGCGCGGGCGGCTGTTTGCATCAGGTCGATGATCGCATTCGCGAGCAGGTCGAGGTCGCCCGGGGTCGATGCGGCAGCCGGGATGGTCGCGATCCCGGCCTCTATGTTTTCTGT